GAAATCCATGCAGGGAGAGGATTAGCTTTTAAGGTAGACTTTTGGTGTTTTTACAGATCTGTTTTTCCTCCTATAGTCAGGTAGTGCTGAATTTTTTTCATTTTTAAAGGAAGGACTCAGCTTTCACAGTTCTCTCTCTCCCTCTCCAGAGCTGACTCTGAAGTCAGCCATGGTGAATGCCATCCACCTTCTGATGTCCAGGCTCCCCAGGTGGCAGGAGGGTTTTTGGGGATTGGTATAAGGTGGCTGAGGATAGAGGAGGTCATGTCAGGGCTCTGCATGTAGGCTGGAGGGTAGATGCCATTTCAGCCTGGTTTTGAAGCTGCTGATAAGTGTGGACCTTGGGTGAGCTGTGAGGGTGAAGCTGCTCCAGCAGCTGCCACTGGAGAAAGGAATGGGACAGGAGGTGCAGTAGGATTTGCTGGGAAAGACAGATGAGATGCTGGGGTAGATACAATCTCCTTTCACTGAGAGCCCACAGTCACTGCTAGGGAGAAACATCTTGGCTTCCAGGAAGGCTTTGAGGTGCCTTCTTGAAGGGGGTTTCTCATCCTTGAGGTTTCACTAAGGTCACCTCCCCAGGAGGCAGCTGGATGTCCTTGCAACACTTAAAACCTTTCTGCTCTTTTCTGAGGGAAGCAGAGTCTGGGGTTTCAACTCATTCTAGTCTTCCAGTCAAGCTGAAGCCTGACCAAGGAAGACTCAACTTCCCAACATGCCCACGCTGGCAGCATTAAGCACCTGCACTTTAGGGATCTGTCCTGCCTGGCTTCTCTGTCCCACCTGCTTCTCCTGAGCAGGTTCCTGTGTCCCCAAGAACATCTCTGAGCAAGCACTGACAGATCACCACCATTTCTCTCAGTATTCATGGAAAACATCTTCTGTCTCTGTCTTCCTTCACATTTCCTGATTTCTCCTAAACTTGCAGGAAAACTATAAAAATAACCATCAACTGCCACCATCTTCTTTGGCTGGCAGAGCCAAGGATGCTGCTGTTACGTCTGTGCTTTTGAGCTGTTGGCCCCAACGATCCCCCCCTGGTTCTGGGGATGACAAGGTCCAGGGATGCTCCCAATAAGCGACATGGACAAGGCCACCTTGTTGGGATGGGGTTTACCACCATGGACCTTCTGTCCCCGTCGGCCTCAAGGCTGGAGATCAGGCTGTGGCACATTTCATTTCCTGGCATAGACAGAGCCCCACTCCCCTGGTCACCTGCCCGTCTGGGTCAAACCAAACTCGGAAGTCCTACAAACTCATTCTCTTTTTCACCTCTCACAGGGGATATCTGACTGGAAACACTTGCTGTAGGGGTCTCGAGCTCCCAGCTCTACAGGTGGGCCTGGGAGTTGCCTGTTTTCCCTTTCTGGATGCCAGGGTCCAGTGGCAACATCATAATTTCTCACATCTTGCTGGTGCATCCCCTCTGGAAGATGAAGAGGCTACTCCTGGGTCTCTGCTCTTTGCTGGAGGAGCAGGGACTCCCCTCCTGACCCCAGACAGTCACAGTTGGGAGAGTGCTTTCCCCCCTACCCCACATGAAATGCCCCCTCTGCCAGGCACCGAATTTCTGCATGACCCCAAACCTGCCTCCGCTCCCTTTGCCTTCCACAGTGGATGCCCCCATGGATCTCCAGAGGTTGGAGCAGGCAGGAACAGTCATCTGCTCCCACTTTGAGCTCACAGTGGGCCCTGCAGCCTGTGGTTGGATTACAGTGCCATGTGTGAGAGGGCAGCCATGCAGCCCCACGGACCAAGAGCTGTCTGCCAGCAGGAGATTCCATAACCTCCTCTGACCACCCCAGGAGATGGGCTGATCCTTCATCCTCACCACAGGGCACATCTCATGGTGTGCACCATGCTCTTGATGCAGCACTGAGGTAGAGACCTTGCCATCCCACATGTCCCAAGGTGCAAGTCCCAGCCCATCTGCACCAGACAGGGAAACCCAGACGTGAGCAGACTGTGGGGACATCAGAGCAGGGGCTGGTGGCCACTCTGCCACCCGTCCCACCAGCCGAATGTCCTTCCCTCCTGCAGGTCATTGACAGGGAGTGGGAGAGGTGGAGGGGACTGTATCAAGTGGCTCCTTCCTTCTTTGGGTTGTTGTCCCTTTTTTCTAACTGTTGCACAATTTTAGGGCTTTTGTAACATTTTTTGGACAAGCAGGGAAAATAAGTTAACAGTGGTTTAAGAAAAAAAAAATGAGATCTATCTCTCTCTCTTATATATTATATATATATAAAAAATATATATACTTACAGGAAATCTCTATGGAAATATTTATTTAAGATGACTGCAAAAAATATATTATAATTAAGATTATACCAAGCTTTGTCACGTAACAAAAAATCAGGCCCCGGGGAGGGGTAGCTGCCTGTCCCCTCGTGTCCGTCCGTACGGTTGCAGCTGAAGCCTTTCTCTTCTCTTTTTGTAAGTGCACTCGAACTGTTGAGCAGTGTGACCGTGTTGGATTCAGTGGGAAGTTGGGGGTGGGGGGTGGGATCGGTTTTGTTTCCTTTTCCTTTGTTGTTTTTTTTTTTTTTTTTCTGAACCTGTGGCTGTGAACAGAATGATCACTGCTCAAATCCGATGCTCTATTTGGGGAGGGCGGTGGGGGGGACTGGGAGTAGGGTGGGTGTGGGAGGGAGGGCGAGTGTCAGTTTTATTCTTGGTGTTCAAGTGCAATAAATAGCTACCAACTTCTGAGCATGGAAACGGGTGATTCTCCGTCACTGCAGTGACTCAGACCGTCTGCCACCCCCTTGTCCCTCTGTCACCGCACTCCTGTCCTCGAAAGCATCGGGGCTGAGACCAATCCTTGGGCAGGGGTTGCGGGTATCCTGCTGCCTGCAGGATGCTGGTACCCTGGGCACTGGCTGCCCTGGGTGTTTAGCCTTCCTGAGGCTTTGGGGAGCCCAATGTCAACCCCCCAGACCCAGCTCACTGCAATCATCCCTTTTCCCAGGGACGGGGCTCTGGAGGCTGCAGGTGTATGGGAGCCCCCAGGAGCTGCTCAAGCTGGATGGGGGATGGAGGTGCCCACTGGGCAGTTTGAGGGAGCTTTGGTGGAGCTGGTGCTGCAGGGTGAGGGGCACAGAACACCCAGGTGAGTCCAGGGTGGGTTTGGGGGGTTCCCAGGGGCATTTGCTCGGCTTTGCCCATGCAGGTGGGCTGGTACCTCAGGGGGACTGGGGTCGGGCTGTCACAGCCCCTGTCCTGCACCCCCCGTCCTGAGGTGCCCCCATTGTTCCCCCTCTCCCTGCCATCTGCCCTGGCCCCAGCAGGTGTCAGCACTGGAATGATCCTGCTGCCACGTCCCCCCACAGCCCTGGGCAGCCACGCATGGCCCAGGGCACGTGTCCTCTGGCCGTGTCACTGCCCCGTGCCTTTTGCCCTTGGTGTCCTCCCACACTGCCAGCTTTGCTCCCCAGCCACACTCCCTGGCACAGCCTCGGCTCCTTCCTTCCCATCACTCTGCAGTGCAGTTCTGGTTGATGGCAGCTGCCAAGGGAGAGCCCCAAGGATCCCAGGATCGCAGTGGGGGTTTGGGGAATGTGGCAGGACACCATGCGAGTAGGGAAAGCTGGAAGACATGCAGAGACTGGACCAACTTGATCAGCCCAGAGCAGTTCAACTCCATGCCCTGGAAAGGTGTGAAGCACTCCTGATTCCTCTGGCACACTGTGGCTGGCAGTGACATCATGAAACACCTGGGTCCATCACCTGCTCCATCACCCCTGGAGACCCCCGTGTGTGCCCCTTTGGGGGCCAGCCCAGCCCGGGCTCCTCAGCCAGCACCCGCAGTGATGGCTGGGCAACACCGTGACCTCCTGAGGCCTCCTGCTCAGCAAATAGTGTCAAGGTTAGAGCGAGGGATTCATTGGGGCCATAAATGTTTATGGCAGGCCCTCCCCACTCCCCAGCCGCCACGGCCTGAACTTTCCATCAGCCACACTTTTATGGTCGGACTCTAATGATTAACCCGGGGGCCAGCGGCCGAAGGTGCTTCGCGCGCAGTTGTACTGCAGGAGCCCCACACGCCCAGGGAAGCTGCAGCCATGGTGGGGTCTGGGGAGCAGGATGGGGAAAGCCATTGGTGGTCCTGCAGAGGAAAGGAAGAGTAGAGGCGTCTGGGAATGAGCTCAGCATCCCTGGGCAAGAGGAGGTGAGCAGGCAGGTGGAGCAGGTGTAGGAGCTGGCCCTCTGCTCTCAGAGGTAAAAAGGCAATAATTAATTCTCCTCCGCTGTGGGGAAGGAGAAAAACTGCAGCCTTACGCCAGCATTCGCTCTGGAGGCTCAGGCAACAGTGCTTGATCCAGTGCACCAGAACCACATGCATAATCCAGACATAAAACCCCAATTTGTGTGTTTGTCCTAAGGTTTGGTCTTTTACCAGGACGAAGATTTGCAGGACAAAGCCCAGGGCAGCTGTGCCTGCCATCCCTGTAAGCCCCTCTAGGTGTGCCCTTCTTCCATGCTGGGGACCCCTCAGATAACCCACACAAGGGCTGTGTCACACACCGGTTTTACTGGAGAGCCGATGGCACATGGAAGGCACACATGTCACTGGGATGATGGACACTGGCAGCGTCAGGTCCAAACAGCCCCACCCAGGAGCTCACTGGTACCCTCAGGCCAGCAGCATCAGCAGGAGATGGGGTCCCTGTGTCATGAGCCCTGGGCTGATCTACTCCAAAATCATGTGCAGGAACTGAAACCCAGCCCTTCTCCTTTCCCTGGGAAAAGCAGTACCCAGGGGTAGGGCCATACATTGGATCTTTCCCTTGGCAGTGGACATGGCTTCTCCTTTGGCACTGGGTCCAGCTGAGACCTGTCCCTGACCCCCTGTACACATGGGGAACAGGTCACCCAGCCTCTTCCCTTCTTTCAAGTCACCCAAGCCCTGCCAGGCACCACAGGGAAGAGCTGTCCTGACCCACCAAGGTCCTTGGGGATCTCCAAGCCTGGAAAGGCCCGAGTTGGTTTGTTTATAAAGCTTTTTTTTTTAATTACTTTTAACTGCTCATTTATTAGGTCAAATTTCTTTGGGAGGACACTGATTAGTGCTGGTTATTTGCTGGAATACCTCTGTGTGATCAGAGCACACTGGTGCACATTGTCCTCAGGGCATGGAGGATGTTACAGCCTCTCTCACATGTGTTTATGAGTTACTGGAGTCAAATACACACAAACACAGAACAGACCAATGCAGAGGACCTCCTCAACCTCTTCCACCTCCCCACCTGCTGCAGCCTGGACATTCCTGCACCCTGGATACCCCTACATGAGGAGGGCAGGGCTGGGGCTGAGGGTGGGAGTGGGGCAGCCCTGACACTTCAACCAGACACTGTCACATGAACAGATGGACTCATCACACAGTTTGTCACACTGAACAGAAACACATCAGGGGCACCAGGATGGGCAGCAGCTCTATCGTGGCAGGGCCAGGGTGGTGGTGAGGAACCTGGCAGGGTTGACAGCTCCCGACTGCTGCCCAAGCAGCAGTCCCCAAGCTGTCCTGAAGTGCTGCAGTGCAACCCGTGCAAATTGGGGGTGGCGGGGGTCCCCTCACATCATGGACTCCTCCTCGTCCTCCTCCTCCATCTCCCGGTCCACTTCGATGGCCGTGTTCTCGTAGCTGGTGATGCCCCCATATTTCCTCATGTGGACCATCAGCGGTTTGGGGGACTGGCTGCCCGCCAGGCTGGCCACATACATGCCCGTCCGGTTCTCCTCCAGCGACGGGCCCCAGTCCATGGCGGGCCGGCTGGCCTGCTGGACTCGCTGGAGGGAAAGGCAGAGGGAGCACGGGCATCTTGCACCAGCACTGCCTTCACCCTCACAGCCAGCACACCCACACCTCCGGGGGGGACAGGGTGCTCTGCCAGCTCCCAGGGACTGGAAGAGCTCCCCATGGGCATGGGATGGGGCCAAATGCTTGTCCTGAAGCTTTTTGGGAAGGCAGCTCTGCCTAAGTGCCTTGCTGTGGGGGGTTTGTTGTCTGTGGGTGCTGGTGGTGAGGGCTTGCAGGAGAGAGGGGCTATTGTAGGGCTACAGCCCTGTGCTGTGGGATTAGTCACCCAGAAAAGGGGTTGGTCTTTGCCAAGGGGGCTCCTGGCCATGCCACGGTGCCCATGGCTGTGTCAAGCCAGGTTACAGACAGCAGGTGATTGCTGCCTGGGGAGGGCAGCAAGCTCTGCTCCTTTCCTTGTAACAGCCTGGGGAGAGCAGTGAAGGGCTGAGAAAGCTGCAAGCAGCCAGCAGCTCCGTAACCTGCTCCTGGGAGAAGCCTTTCAGTGCAGGGATCCCATCTGGCCTGCCTGCACAGTCTGGCAGCTGCCTGCCTTGCTCTGCCTTCGCTCCTGCCAAAGAGGTGCAAAGTCCCAGGTGCCCATGCCTGTCCCACATTTGGGACAATGTGCTTCCCCTCAGGGCACAGCAGGCTTGCTTTGGAGTTGGAATGCACACAGGGCTGCTCACTACCTGCCTGGCATCATGGTAAGCAGCACTGCTGGAAAGGCCTTGGCATGTGCCAGCCATCTCTCACACTCCGTAGGCAGGAAGGAGAGATGGGAGACACACCCCTCCAGCAGAGAGAATACAGGAACTTCAGAAGGTACAGGCTTGGCAGTGGCTCCTGCTCACCCCTGCACACTTCTGGGATGCAATGCCAGGGCCCTCCTACCTCCCACAGGGTCCCCTCTTCTCGGAGCACAGCCACCACCATGCCCAGGGGAATCATCAGGCAGGAGAGGACTCCCATGAGGATGCCCAAGACCTCGGCCCAGGTGGGGAAGCGGTAGCTGCCATACTCGGAGGGCTGATACTTGACTATGTTATATACCAGCAGAGCCTGTGGGATGGGAAGAAAGTGAGGTCATCCCAGAGCCCTCTGAAGGTCTCGTGGTCAAAAAGAAAGGCTTGGACATGATGGACACCTCCCAGGAGAACCTGGGACGGTCCCTGGGGCAGGAGATGCCAGCAGAGCAACTTGTCACACTGGGAGGTCACCCAGGGATACTGGCACCACTGTGGCTCTCCAGCACCTCAAGCTGAGCAGTTACCATCATTGTTGCTGGGGATAGGACCATCCAGCAGGCTCTGAAGTAGGGCCCTGGTTTGAAGCCCAGCATCATGTGGATATCTCGGCAGAACCTCTTTATGCCTGAAGGAAGGAGAAGGAGAAAGACTCAGAAGCTGTCAGCCCTTGCCCAGAGCCCAGTGCCTGTACCAGGCTGTGCTGCACTGATCAAAAGCTGTGGTTTTCATCTTCTACAGCAGAGTCTCCCCTCCCAGCTGGGAGATGGAGGAGGGGATCCCAGCTGATGCTGTCCATGGGACTGGTCTCAGCACCTCACAGATCTCTGGAAGGTGAATCCAGTGATGGCCGAGAAAGAACAGGTGGTGGAAGCAGAGATGTTTCATGGTCCATTGTGAGTCTGTTTGTTTCCCTACCACTCCCTCTAAATTCCTCTCTCCATACAGACAGCCCATCCTTCCCTGTGCCCCTGTGAGGACGAGCCCCTTACCATAGACACGTGTCACCACGAGGCAGGTAGTGATCACCACCACCATGAGGCCAAAGCCAGCACTGTAATCATCCAGTAGGACCAGCCAGTACATTCCACCCTGCAGAGACAAAGCACAATGGCCAGCATCTCCAGGACCATCATCCCAATAAACCCCCACCCAGCTCCTCCCACTTTTGTGCATCCTGGGGAAGACAGCAGAGACATCAAGAGACATCACACTTCTTATGGGGTTTGTGTAGGGATGAGAATAACACTGTGTCACTCCCCTTGGACTCACACCTTCTGCAAGCCCAGGCTCATTGTTTCTCTTTCGCCTTGATAGCTGATGTGAATACTCATGTCTGCAAACATGGCCATGACCGAAGTTCTCCCTAAAATGAAGCCCTAGTTGGTCCCCACAATGGATCCATGCCCACACCCTTACCTCTGTTGTGAGGATGAGCCCCATCAGGAAGAGGGCAATGCAGATGACAGCCGAGAATGAGGCTTTCTTTGGCCGCAGGTAATAGGGAAATTCATCTGTCACTGCCGTGACGATGGTCTCCATGAATGCAAACTGCTTGCACAGGAGGAGAGGGTCCCCTGAGCCCTCAGGCTGCCTGTGCTCCACAGCTGGCTCAGTGGGCTCTCTCCTTACCTGGCTGTCCAGGCCCAAGGTTAACAGCATGAAGAAGAACAGGAATGACCAGAATGGAGAAAGGGGGAGCATTGTCATGGCCTGTGGGTACACCACAAAAGCCAGACCAGGACCTAGGGGAGGAAAAGGACAGCAGGTGAGAAGGAGGTGAAGGGGCTGGACATGGGGGGATGGAGAAAAGGAGAGCTCAGCAGAGCAGCACCACAGCAGGGACCTGCCAGGACTCTTGCACGATGGGCAGGAGGGGTCCTGCAGCAGAGAGTGGAGGGGTGCAGGAGAACCAGCCTGCTCCTTGCTCAGACCTTCCTTAGGCATCACTTGTTGCTCAACCTTTACACCACAAGAACCTGTCTCCCCCCTTCCCTCCCCCTGGCCAGCTGAGCATACATCCTCATCCCTCACACCAACCTCCTCAGGTGCCTTCAGTCCTGGAAGAGACACTCCTCAGCACACCTAGGCAGAGGGGGAAGGGGAAAGGGTCTTTGTTTGGCCTCACCTGCTTTTGCCACCTGGTTAACAGGGACCCCAAGCTCCTGGGACATGTATCCCAAAACAGAGAAGATGGCAAACCCTGCCAGGATGCTGGTGATGGCATTACCCAGGGTCACTATGAAGGTGTCCCTACAGAGGAGAGATAAGATGCTCTGAGCATGCTCTCTCCTTCTCACCCCACACCAGTGCATGAAGGCATTGCCAGCCCCAGGAGCCACAGTAAGGTGACCCAGTGTGACTCTCCCCCAGGACCTCTCTTGGCATGTGCTTTCCAGGGTCAAAAGGACATAGGCAATTTTGTGGGTTCCTCTCAAGCTTGCTTTCCCCTGTGGAGGGCATCAGACCAGATGTCTAACACTCCTCTCTATTGGTGAACCACAAACAACTCCAGCCTCAGTTATCCTCAGACTTCAGCACCCATAGCCCAAAACTTTGGAGCTGGGTGCTCTGCATTGGTGCTTAGGAGAATTTTCTCCCACAGACCCCTCTGTTCCTCTCAAACCCGTGCAAGCTGCTAGGTATTGCCACAGTGCTCGTGCAAGGAGCAGTGCTGGATGACTGTGTGCTGCACCGTGTACTTCTGCTGGCTTTGAACCCACTGGCTGAGGTTTTCGTGACTCCCCCCAACCCATCACTTTTATGAGACAGCAGCTGAGTCCCACCTGTAGATATTCTGATGGAAGGTGTTGTACGAGGCGAAGGTGAGGAGGCCCCCAAAGCCCACCCCAAGGGAGTAGAAAATCTGCAGGGCTGCCTCGATCCACACCTGGGGGAAGAAAGCAGTTCTGAGGAGATCAGGGGTCTGGAAACCTCACAAGGAAGATGGCATTGAAAATCTGCTTCCCCAAACCCCTGGGCACATCTTCCCCAGCATCCCAGGCATGCACAGCCCACAGGATGTTTGTCTTTCCTAGTTAACACACTCACCACTCACAGTGGATCAGCTGGCTAGTTAAAGGGCTAACGAGAGTGTTTTAGAGCCAGCCCAGTGTGGCATTAAATACCCTTGTAAAACTGGGTGGTCTCTTGGTGGCCACCCCTGCTGACCCCTGCTCCACCTGCTGAGACTTCTTGAGAACAACAGAACAGCCAAATCCACCATGGGAACCCACTGCCTCATCCAGCCCATCACTGGGGCTGGGATGATCCTGCCCATGGCCCTGGTACCTAGGGGAGTCTGTGACCACATTGTCCCCTCTGTGCAGAGCCAGAATCACAGGCATGGGGATAGGCCACATGGGAACAGTGGTCAAGAAAAGACTTGGGGCAAAGACTTTTGATCTTGGAGCAACCAAGAGAGAGGATTTTAGGTCAGGGAGTGGTCAGAAAAGACACTTGAGTAAGGGAACTGCCTCTGTTGCACACTGGAGGTGGCAGGAGAAGGTTCATTTCCGTGTCTTGAACAAATTGCACAATGTCCTGCTCACCTTGGAAGACAGCAAATGATCAAACTGGGGCGTGAGGTAAAACCGTATCCCCTTCCAGGCCCCCTCCAGGGTCACACCACGAATGAGCAGCATCACCAGGATGAGGTACGGGAAGGTGGCAGTAAAGTACACAACCTGTGGGAGAGCAGAGCCAGCTGGGAGCGAGAGCACAGTGTGAGCACTGCCCCCCTGCCCTGCCCCCTGGGTGGGACACTGCACTGCTTAGTGCCACCCTGCAGTTCTGGGGTCCTTGGGCTGCAGCAGGGCTGGTGTGTCAGTCCTGCTGGTCTCTAGGTGTGGAAGGCATCCCAGGAATGTCCTGTGTCCAGTGGATGCTGTTTGTGGGTCTCACTTTCCCAGACGCGCAGAGTTGCAGGCACTGGTGAGCACCTCTGTAAATCCCCCCAAAAGAGGCCATCCAGCCCTTACCTTGCCAGAGGATTTGACTCCCTTAAGGATGCACAGATAGACGATAGTCCAAGAAAGGAGCAGGCACAGACACAAGTTCCAGCGGATCCTCCCGGGATCCCCGATCCCTGAGCTCCCTTGGATGTGCAGGACATACCGACTAGAGAGAAAGGAGAACCACTAGTGAGCAGCCACTGGCATCCTCTACCTTCTTCCAGAGGCCCTCTCTGACCCTGGAAATGCCTCTGCTGCAAAAAATAACCTTGTCAGCAATCCCAGGCACTGGCAGCTATTTGCCAAGGAAATGGGAACAGTTGGTGTGAGACTAGAGGGGATGCCTGGTATCTTGAGAGCAAATTCCTAACCATTCCAGGCATGGGATTCATTTCAGTCTAACACATCACCAGGCCAGAAAAGCAGCACTAGAACATGTCATCCCAGTGGCTAAACTGAAATATCACCCACAGCTGAGCACAAGAGCCCATCACTGCTCCTACAACACCAGCCATGAGTGCTCACCATGCTGTGAGATACGGAGCACAGACCCCTCACCCCTCATTCCATCCCCATCCTCTCCCTTGCTGGATGCCAAGCACATCCCCACATTCTCCTTACCTCCAGTACTCCTCGCTGGGGCTGACAGTGTTGGTGATGTTGACGGGGAAGGTGGTGTTCCCCCCCTTGATGACGTGGTGGTCCAGGCACAGGTCGGTGTTCCACCAGTTGCCGCAGTGCTGCCAGGGCAAGTCGCTTGTGAGGGATGCAAAGAGGTAGAAGAGAACATAAGCAATGATCATATTGTAGTAAATGGCCACCAAGGAGACGATGAGGATCGTGCCCATGCCAATGCCTGGAGGAAGGAGAGGGTAAAGAAGGAGTGAGCCATCTCTCCGGAGCAGAGCACATCCAAAACCAGGGTCAGACACTGCATCTCAGCAGCCAAATGTTCAAACAGTCAGAGGTTCACCTGGTGAGGGAGCCTTTTATTGACATTTTACCCTCTGGACATGCTTGCTTTGTATTGATGATCTATTGCCTCATCCAGACAACTTTACTCCAGTGTAATGTTGAGAATAAAAAGATTTGATTTGACTTTTTTTTTTTTTAATGCTTTATTCTCCTCTTTGTCTTTAACAGTCATTGCTTAGCTTTCATGCTCTGGCTTAATAATTTTCACACTGTGTCTACTATTTCTAAACTGGTCATGTCATCCAGAACCCTCAAAGACTGACAGATCTCATAGATATCTTACAGTTTTTAAAACAGCTAACCAAAAAGTCCGTCCTGCTCCACTTTCTCCCAGGATTTAACCTTTGATGCTAACAAGAGCTTTGAGGGTCACAGAATGTTGCTGCTGGTCCATGTTCTCATCAATCAGGTCTTGCAGAGGCCTTGCAGAGGCTCTGGACTTTCCTCACGCACCTTTAAAGAGAGGGCTTATCTTCCAGACTGCAAGTGGCCCCAGGCTGGAGAACTGGCCAAGTGACAGTTCCATGAAGAAGATGGGGATCCCACAGATGGCCAGCATGATGAAGTAAGGAACCAAGAAAGCTCCTGCAAGAAGCAAGAAAAAAACTCCTGAAAGCAATACAGAGCAAACACCTAAAGCCCATCTGTGGCAGGCAATGAAGTTCATTCTATCTCTGGTCCTGAGGGATCTACACCAAAATCTGGAAGACAATGAGGAGCGACAGCTCACTGTCAGTGCAGGAGAAAAGGGCTGTGATTCACCTGTGTCATGCTTCCCCCCTGCTCCCAACTTTCTTTTCTCAAATACCGTGGCATTCTCCAGTTATTATTGTGTGAAACAAGCAATTGCTCTGGGAGTAGTTGAATCAGCACTTTGCGCCATCACCCCGGACTCTTGCCTTGCAAAAAGCTCCCTCCTTCGATAGCTGGGAAGAATTTGCTGACCCTGCTGAGTCCTGAAGGACACCAGGCCAAGAAACTGTTGGACACCAGGAGAGATGGTCAGGTAGTGTTCAGTTCAGCATTGAGCCAGGGATTTCTCTGGGTCCAGGAATACAGAGATGTGTTGGCACATCCTTTCCCACACAGGGGTACAGGTGGTTAATGCCCTAAACTAGCATGGGGGGCAGGAGGAGGCATCACCTCACAACAATGACTAGTGCTACTTCCCAGCCCCAAGAAGGGTAAGGGACACCTCTTTAGGGACATGTCCCACCAGCCCAGCTCAGTGATGGGGGAATCGGCCACTCCAAAGGATGCCCAAGTACCTCCTCCATTGGTGTAAGCCCTGTAAGGGAACCTCCAGACGTTTCCAAGGCCAACGCAGTATCCGATGCAGGAGAGGAGGAAATCCAGCCGCCCCGTCCAGTTCCCTCTGTCTTCTGGGCACTCGGAGCCCAGGTCCCCATCCTGGCTGCTGGGGCTTACCAGAAGATCTGGTGTCACGGGCTGAGCGAAGGAACGGGGTATGGGGGAAGGCAGGCAGGGGTCAAGGGGGGAATAAAAACAGAGAATGAAGAATGGGAGAGTGGGAAGGAGTGCCAAGAACTCCTGTGTGAATTTGTAACCCCAAGTCGCAGCACTGACACTTGTCCCTTGGGGACACCCCATTACAGCAGCTCTCTGGTCACCACCCCAGGCAATGTCCTGCTATGCCACTGAGCAAGGAAAGGGGATAAATGTAATCTCATGTGGCCAGAGCTTCCCTGGGAAAGGCAGGATGGTCCTGGTTCATGCTGGGAAGCCTCACCGGGACCCATCTTGCAATTCCAGGTTCCAAAGACATACTTTTAAGGGGCCACAATAAACTTTCCAGATATCCTGTAGAACATGGGCATGAGGACAGCAGGAGAACACTATGGTGTGCCAGAGAGTGTGACACCCCATCCCCATGTGCCACTGCCATGCCAGGCACTCAGCTGGCTGCTATTAAATGCTCCATATATTTTTCACACTTTTCCAACTGGCAAAACACTGTGGGGATTCTGTGATGCTCCCACTTGTCCCTAAGTCACCTCCTTCCAGCTTTCCTAATATGCCCTATATCAGTGCAGCACAGGCAGGGGATTAACCCATTCCCTTCTTTCCCACTGTCTCAGCTCTGCAAGAGGGAGGTGTGGGTCCTGCAATCCATTTAGGCTGGGGTGATGCACTGTGAGGACTCCTTGCTGTTTGTGTGTGGGTGTATATCAGGCCTGCAGTGAGATGTTTGGTCTGAATTTCCCCAGTCTCCTGATCTCGGGAGAAGGGGGAAGGCATCCCTACTGGCTTTCATCCCTCCAGAGCTGAAAGCCTAAGCCAGCAGCTGCTGGGTGAGATCCCATCATAGATATCCCCTCAGCAAGACCAGGCAGCAAAAAAGGGGTGGGATGAGGATCCTGTCCCTGTGGCACCATATGTTGCTGTGCCCTGGCGTGGGAGTATATCACATTCATATTGAAGCACAGGAAGATTCTGGGGTCCCTGCTGACAAGGCACCAGGACCAGGGCAGGAAAAACCCATTTGGGAACCTTCTCTTCTTCTTTGGCTCTCCAAAGAAAAAAGCAGCTCTCTCCACGTCCCTCTTCACAGTCCTAGGGAACAAGTCTATGGATGTGGTTGAGGGAGAGGAGTCTGGATTTGGAGGGATCAGCCAGAAGGAGTTGTGGGTTCCCTGCACCAGCGTGCATATGTGTTCAAAGCCTGCAGCAGATCCCAATTCCCCTGGAGACCAGAGCTGGCTGCTGAGCAGAGCTCAGCACTGCCCTGCCACAGCCTCCAGGAAGGTGGCAGCCACCTTCTCTGCTCTCCTCCTCCTCTCTGGCTGGACTGGACTGGGAGATGCTCTTGCTGCTGGTTCCCATGGAGACACTGAGCCGTGTTGTCAATGGTGAGGGCTTCCAGCTCCCATCCTTCACAGGGTGCACCCCAAACCCCCAGCCACTGGCACCACAGACGTGCTGCTTGCAGCCCAAAGGCACCAAATATGGAGGCGAACTCACCCCCGTCCCCACTTGGTGTGAAAACCCCCTGAGGGACAGGACAAGCCAGGGCAAACTCTTCCCAAAGCCAACCTGAAACACACAGCCCCAGCAAAGCCGTACACCAAACCCCTCCATGAAAAGCCCAGCCCCACTGGATGCCACCATCACAAGGCAAGGACCAGAAGAAAAAAGTTTCAGAAACACAGGCTGAAAAGTCAAAATATGACCCAAATATAATACTGTTGCTATAAAACTGTTGCTACCTGGCAGCCCTCCTGCAGCGGTTCAACACAGCTCTCTGGCTTTGCAACATCTCCAAGCCATGGCCATGCCTGCTAATTAGCCCAGCACGCACAGCAGGCGTGACCTGCAGCTGCCTCTGCTTGCAGGGGATGGACAGGCTGCTCCACAACACCTTCCCAAAAGTTTCAGCAGATAAAACCTGTATTCAAATATCCCTGCTTAGTGGGGACCATCACAGTTGGGTCTTTCCCCCCAAAATGCTTTCCCGTCCATCACACTGCCTCGGGGGAGCTTTTGATTTCCAGGTTTGCATCAGAGAAAACCAGCAAGCAGGGATGCTGGGAGATCATTAAATCCTCTGCCTGACTCCTGCATCTCTGTCTGAATCCTAAACACCTACGAGAGGGCACAGGTAGAGCTGCAAGAGCTGATTGCATGCTGTGCCCATCCATCAGATATAGCACAGAAATCAACACAGAAGCAACAACAAGGAGAGAAAGGAACCAACTGGACCTTTTCCAATCTGTAAATGGCCCAGTCCCCATCTCAGCCCTCTTTTCAAGGGCTGTAGGATGTAATCTGTCACCTGTGTCTCTGTAATGACTGTCCCCCTTATAAATATATTTAGCTGGAGCTCTGCAGTTTAAATTTGATACCCCACAGCAGAATGCAGAGACTGCTCAAGCGTCAGGTAGACCCTGAAGACAATGAGAGTGTGGTCCCCACTGGGGATGTTTGGGAGGCACAGGCCAGGAATGCCCCTGGAAAACACACAAAAAGGCTGCTCCATGACCAGAATGCTCAAAAACACCCCAAATCCCAGCCTTTCCATAGAAATCACAGAAAAACTGGCCTACTTGCCTGGCTTAAAATGAATTGCAAAGCACAGTATTTAAGGATTCTAGCCCATCTTTGTCCCAAATAGCAGACAAAAGCACACCTCCCTACTTCAGACTGCTGGAAATCTCACACACCGGTTCGATTCCAGATCCTTTTTTAAGGATTATTGCTCCCTTTCAGCCTCTGTCATAACAAGAATTTTCTTTTTCAGCAGCAGCTGAAGTGCTCCAGTGCTACAATATTGCTCTAGTGCTTTCCACCATCAACTGCCATCCTTCAAACCGGGCTCCCGTCTCGCGGTTATAAACAGACGGGGACCAACAGCTCCCTTGGCAACCACGGCCTCTTTGAACACGGCATCACTTTTCATTATTCACCAAAAGATGTTCCCGAAGAAGTCAGCAAATCAAAGGTCACCAAGAAAAAAAAAAAGCACTTTAATCTCTGCCAAGATAAGAGCCCACGTCCGTAAGAAAATCGCCCTGTGCTAATTATTTTCTGTAAACCAATTTACTTAAACCAGTCCAAAACTCAGCTGCATCCATGAAAAAACCAGCCAGATCAAAGTTACTTTTTCATCACATTTTGTCTCCTCTCAAGATGGCATTGTGGGATTATTTTGCCAGTGTTTCGTGCATGGATCACAGCCTTTGATAGGGGGAAATGCCACCCGGCACCAGATTTCTCCCCTGCGGATCTGAGCACAGCGAGTCTCTGAAGTGTGAGTCACTTCAGATTACCTCAAATTGCTTGTTAATCTCCGAGAGAAAAAACCAACAGAACAGCATAAAAATTAGTTCAAACGTAATATTGCTTAGAAAGTGAAGTAAATAAAGCATCGCTGTGGTGTGGGAGAGCCCCTCGAAGGGCTGCACTGACCCCAGGTGCCCCCAGCCCACGCCATGAGAGGGAGCAAGAGGTGGTGGAGTCAGCACAGGGGACTTTGGGGGCTGGAGATGGCTGAGGCTGAAGCAAACTCATGACAGTGATGTCCAAAGTTCAGGGAGTACACATGGATACAAATGCTTATGGTCTTTCATCCAAAAACCCTGGGGAAGTTTTGAGGCAGTTTTTGGCAGGCAGAGGGGGGCAGTGGCTCAGGCAGGAGGAGGATGCTCTGCGGGTATGGGGAGGGACAGCCCAAACCATGGCTCCCACCACTGGCTCCTGTGAGCTTTAGCCCATTTCTACCAAATAACCCTCCAAAGCAAATCATCAAATTAAAACATCCACTCATAAATACTGTTATGCAAAAGCCAACCTGAAGTCCTTAGAGCCTGGGAAAGATCTTCTCCATTAAAGAGGCATTTTCATATATCTAAAACATGTCTGGTGAGAAGGCTTAAAACTCCTGACTCGCCAATGGGAAGTGGATCATAATGAGAGGGAAAGGAGGCTCTCAGGGTCCTGGGTGGGTGCTGCAGTTGGGCTGGGCACATCTCTCCATCAGCCACCACCAGCTCCAGGCAAGCCCAATGCCAGCGTTGGACACAGGGGTCCCAAGGTGGCTTCGAGCACGGGATTTTCCCTCTGGAGCTCAGCAAGTGGTTTTGGGTAATGGAGGAGGGAGGGCTCTGAGCAGCACTGGGAATGGAGAAAATAACTCCAGAGACATCTGCTTTCCATACCAGCTGATTGCCATGGTATGAATTCCTGAATAAATGCTAAATGAATTCCTGAATAAATGCTAAACAGGATCACCAGCATCGAGTAACTCAGAAAACCATTGGAAGGGACAAAGACAACTTTTAGTGGATCTTGCAATCACAAAGACATCTGAAAAAGCAATTTTTAGGAAAGAGGAGGAGAGAGAAGAGGCCAGACAATGACTCCAAACAATGGAGAAACAGCAGAGTGCTGCTGGCTGTCACCAGGCCACTGCTGGCTTTTTTACGTCATGTTTCAATATCCTAGGAATTTCCTGGCAGTGATGAAACTCTCTTGGGTTTTCATTCATCAGGATGCTGGCACAGGTTGGAGTCACCCTGCCCTGTGGTTAATGGGCATGGATTGGCAGAGAGGAGAGCCAAAGTGGCTCCCAGCCCTGGGTGTCTGCCTGGGATGCTCCAGGAAGTGCTGACCCACTGGCAGCAGCAGTGCATTCCTATGATGGAGCTGTGGCTGACAGCCTCTGCCACCCTGCTCCACCATGTCCCCAAGGGGGACAGGCATGAAAAAGTCCCCAAAGTGGGGGGAAATGGGAACTCAAAGAGGCTGTAAGAGCAAAGTGGCAGCAGAGGAAAGCCTGGGATGGGAAAGCCTGACAGCTGGGTCTAAAAAGGGTTTCCAGCAGGATGGAAAAAGGATTTGTAGCTCTGTCAGCTCTGCCCTGAACCCAGAGTTCAGTGTTCAGCTGGCCCCCCACCACCCAGACCCCTTTAAATCCTGCGGAGGAGGATGAGGAGGCAATCCAAGCTGCAGGTGGGAAAGTCACTGCCCAGCTCCCTGTGTGGGACTCCTCATCCCTTACCCCTCACCCCTGCTCCGAGCCCAGGGGCTGGTGGGAGCAATGTCCCCGGGGTGCCAGGCTGCGGGGAGCCAGCTCTGCTCCCGGTGCCACCCCCGGCATCTGTCCAGACACAACGTGAGTCACCCACCGCCGGCAGCACCTGCTGGCACAGGAGGGTCGGGGATGCGGGCAGCGGTGCCTCCCGCTCAGGGCAGCGAGGCAGGAGCGGTGGGCACGAAACGCCCCACCCCTCTGCTCACAGTCCCGCTTTGGCCCCGCGCACGGACACTGTCCCTTAATATCCGACTAATCCCTGTCGGCTGCCCACGAATGCTCCCGAGGACAGGATGCAGGGCGATAGACATGCCTCCCCCTCTCCCCGCTCCGAGCCCGGGGGTATCCTTGCTCCCCGCTCCCAGCCCGAGGGTACCCTCGCTCCTGGCTCTCCTCTCCCGGGGGTAACCCCTGCTCCCCGGCTCCTATCCCCGGGGCACCCCCGCTCCCGGCTCTCACCTTCCGGAGATGCTGCTGCCGAACCTTCTTCATGCCAGACCCTGTTGCTATGCGCTCCCCGCTCCGACACTTTTCGTCTCGCTCTCTCCGGCGCTGGGGAGGGCCGAGGGGGAGAGGGGAAGCGACGGCCAGCACGGAGGGTGTCCCTCTGCTACCGGGGGGGAGCTGGGGAACAGCAGGAGCGAGGCTGGAGGAAAGGTTTGCCTCGAGTGGAGGATGGCTGCGTGCGGAGCAGGGAGGGAGGAGGGAGGTCTGTCTGTCAAACGCACTCCTGGCGGGGTAAGGGGGGCTCTGGGACCTCAGCCCCAGACCTGAGCAGCAAGGGGGAACGGCTGCTGCCTCACTCATGCCACGAATGCATCGGGTGTCCCTAGGGATGGACCTGACTTTGCAGGCACTCTGCCACTGAGCACCCCACGTGCCCCAAGCAGCGGTGGCAGCACCATGAGTGCAGATGCCAGAAGCTCACAGCATTTTCCTGCACAGTGGGTCTTTCTGAGCTAATATTTACCGATATTTCCCATCGGGAAAGGAGGAAAGAACAAACTACATAACCTAACAAACACCTCTTTTTACACACTCACAGCTTCCTCAAAAATAAAACGATCTTTGGGAATTCACCCAGGCAAGTTTTACCTGCCTTGGACTCACCCATCAATTCTCCCTCTCCCGGGATACTGGCTGGGAATGCTGAGCCTGGAGCTGGCCAGGCTGACATCCAGGAGCTGCATCAGGCACTGTCCCTGCCTCACCCTTCATGCAGGGCAGGGATGCTTTGTTTGCCTTTCGTGCCAGTGCAATCTGAATCAGCTCTTTGACTTTTTCCCGTGGGATCCACCTAAAGAGAAGCATCCCATGGCCATCTCTATGATGTGGGAGAGGAGAAACTAATGTCACCTTATTACAACTGTCTCAGCCCTGTGTCACCAGCATGGACTGAACTCTGTACAAACAACCCAGCATTCCTGGGTGGACTTCAAGCCCTTGTCTTCTTGTGTCCAGGGCAGTATTTGTCAGCAGAGACATCCAAGGCTGATGGTGCCCTGAAATGTCCATGTTGATACCGCTGCTGCTGGGATGCTCTGTATCTGGAGCTCCCTTTCCTGGTTTGTCTGGTGCTGCTCTGAGAGCACCATCAGCTCTCCATTGCCTGGGACCACCAGGGGGTAGAGGTCCCACCTCAGGCACCTGGGATGCTCCAGGGCCTCATTGCATGGCTGGCTCAAGTCTTGCATTGCTCTGGAGCTGGCAAAAAGCCCACTTCATGGAACAGCACCCCCCAGAGGCAGTAGGAACCAGAAAGAGCAGTGCAGTCCAGGGACCCCAAAAACCCCAGGAGAGCTCAAGAGGAGTACAAGGGTATTGCACAGCTGTTCCCATGCCCTGATCTTCAAGAAGCTGGCACTAGGGAGCACAAACGGGGCTTGCAAGCATTTTCTAGCAAGTATTGCTTCCTCCCACCCCACCTCTGAGCCACCCCTGGGACATCAAGTAAACCTTTCCCTTCTCCTGGGCCGAAGCACGGATACAGCAGGCAAAGCAAAGACTTGTCTCTCCATCATGATGCAGAACTGACAGACACTGGCACTGTCTGGTGGGCAAGGAGAGGGTGGAACACAGGCTGGGGAAACACCTTTGCCCACCCTGCCTGGGCAGCCCACCCACATATGAGTGGCAGCCACCTGGGAAGAGGCGAGAAGGTGGGTGACAGCAAGATGGGACTGTGCCCAGATCCACGGTGCAGACATGAGGAAGGCGACAGCGGCAGTGGTGCTCTGGTTAGTCACTGCTGGGAAGTGTGCCATGCTGTAGGACGGTGGTGTGCTCGGCCACCTGCTGCATGTGGCCTTATTTTGATGATGATTTCAAGATTCCTCTAAGGAGGAGTGAAGCTGGGCAGCAGGAGCTGATGAAAAGGAAGGAAGAGGAAGAAACTGTGGGGGCTTGCTGGGGACATCCCCCAGGATCCTCTGGCCATGAGGGCAGGCTGTCCCCATAAGGACCAGGCTTCATGTGGGATGTATGACTCAGGAGGCAGCTGCTGCAGGTGCTGAAACCAGGTGTCAGTCACCTGCCAGGGGTGCAACCGTCAGGGTGACACATGTCCAGGAGGTTTGAATCAAAGGTTTCAAAGCTGATGGGCACATGGTGTCCACCGACCCCTTTCCTGGCACAGGGGGGACCCTGCAGGGTTTGCCCATCCCTGCCCAAATGGCAGATGCAGGGCGGCAGGGGAGGACATGGGAGTGGGGACACAGCAGATGCATTTCGTCACCCGGTCAAGGGGCGTGTGTGTGTGTAGGGGGAAGGGGTGACTGGGTGTGTGGGCGCATTTATTGCCTCTTCCCGCCAGCGCCGGCTCCCTGTGCACACACGGGTGGCAGGGACCCAAGGGCACAGCCCACGGCTCCCTGGACTTTTACCCTGCTGTGCAAACAGGCAGGCGCCAGATTAGGGTATCAGTTGGAATTTCATCCTGTCAATGGCACCCGCAGCCTCTCTGGGCAGGCAACAAAGCATCTTCCCTCTGTCCCAGCCCCTTGTCTACCTGCAGGCAACCCAACACTGCAGGTGAATTTGGGAGATGCACATTTCATCCCCCCAGGACTCTGTTCCTCCCCAGGCTCGCCCCTTGCAGACAGTAGTGATGCCCATGCTGGGTTGCCATCACCCCATCCCCTGCCAGAGCAGGATCCCACTGCTGGTCTCCATGTGGCAATGACAAAATTGGATGTCAAAGGCAGCCAAAACCCACTGAGGGAGGATGATGAGTGTGGAGGAGCCAGCCCCTGGTATGGTGACCATGCTGGAGTCTGCACACAGAAATGGCCCCACTTTCCCCAGTCCAGCCCAGCTCTTCAGGCAGGTGGCCCATCAAGTCTTATCCCTTTCTTATGTGGCACCAACTCCATTGTCTTTGTCTCCCCCCCATTTTAATTCCTGATTCCCCATGTCTCCTTGCAAGGGTGTGGAGAGGTGGTCCCATGCCATGGGCAGCCTGGCACCGTGCCAGTGAGTGCAGGGTCACCAGGGTCAGCGGTATTGCAGCTGCTATTGCAATTGCAGGAACAAACCATTTGCTCTGTCCCTCCCTCTGCAATGTCACTTCATCCTGTTCCCATTCCTCCATCTCCTCCACCCTTTATCCTGCTTCAGGTGTCCCTCCACAGCCAGCTGCCCTGCCCTGGCACCTTGGCACACACATCTCCACCTCTTCTCAGGCAGTGCTTGGCACTGGGAGGAGTTTTGGGGCTGGACAAACCATATTGGGTAGGGATTTGAGGGCAACCCCTTACTCAGTGCTCTTCTGGACTGGGGGGACACTCCTGGGATGGAGAGGGGAGAGTGTTGGGCACCAATGCCAGCTGTCCCAGGCACTATCTCACATCCTCGTTCTCTGTTTGTTCATCTTGGACAAGGAGGATATTCAGCCCATCGACAGCCATAAAACGAGATTAGAGACCAGGAGGCGCCAATGGGAGCTGGCCTTGTTCTTTGGCCTCTGCCAGCCCAAGCATGGCCTCACCCTTTCCCTGCTGTCTCCAGAGTTTGCAGCCACTGGGTCACCCAGCATTGCCATCCCTCTTGGTGCCAAAGGAATGAGACGTGGCAGCGCCAAGCCACGATATGAGCCATGACACCGCCAGCAATGCCCTTGTGGGATGGGCACAGTGTGTTACATGGGCAAGGCTGCTGTCCCAAGGCACCCTTCCCAACCCTGGGTGCGCTCAGCGGCATCGGCGCCAGTGTGACTCCTGAGACAGCACCCTCCCCTGCCACAACACCGTGGGCCAGGAGGGACAGCAACAAACCTGTGTCACACAGGATTCCTGCTTATTTTTATTTTCACTGATGCCTAAAAATAAAAAGGAAAACCAGTTCTGCCTTATATACACAAAAACTGAGCCAAAGTCCCAAGGTGATGCAAACATTTGTCCTCATCACTGTGTGCACCTGGCAGCAGTGGCTGTGGGAGGTGTTGCCAGCTCCTGCAGGAGGGACACCCAAAGCCTTTGAGGGCTGGAGCAGAGCAGTGGGTGCAGTGGGATAATGGACCCACTTGTAAAAGCCACAGCACACCTGGGCACCTTGTGTCCTGGGGTCTGTGAGCAGTGTGGGGCTGGCAGTGGACAGGGCAGCCAAGGGATGTGAGGCACAGGACACTGTTGGGTGGGATATGAGGGCTTGACTGGGTACTCTGCAGGCAGCAGGGACATGTCTGCTGCTCCATGTTCATGGAGCTTGGAGAGATGATGCTGGGAAAGATCACACAAGCCACCATGCAAGGCTCATGCTCCCTAATCCCTGTCTTGGACTTCGGAAGCCGCAGCTCAGGAGCAGCTGGCTCAGCCCTGAGCAGGAGACGCAGACACACCTGTGCCCCAGTTGTGCCCCACTGGCCTTTGGGTCTGCTGAAACTGGGCTGCCCATTACCTGGGCCAATACAGTGGTCAGGGGTGTGGGATGAAGCAACTGCTCAGCTGCAGCTCACCAGCAGGAATAGACAGGGGTTAGTTACTGGCCTAGGGCACAGAGAGGGTAAAAGGAGGTACAGTGCATGGAGGAGAGGGGAGACAGGTAGGACGAAATCTGTAGTCCTGTAATCTGTAGTTTTAAAAAAAAAATAGGAAAAAAAAAAGCTTCTTTGTCTTTCTGAAAACCAATTCTCCATCCCCTAACTGCAGAGTGCATGCCAGCCCCATTTCTCACATGCCTGAGGCGGCTCCTGCCCACCTGGCAGCAGCTCCCGGTGCCTGTGGTGACTGTGATCCCTTGGACTAACACACAGCCCTTCCTGGTGTCAGCCCTTCTGGACAGCATGGGGCTGGTTCTTGCACCTTATCCCAATGGCAAACTTTCTGTTCTCCTCCACTTCCCCACAGGAAGGTGGTCTCAGGGCTCAGCAGGATGGTCTGCCTCCAGTGTGCCTGTGCCCGGCTCCCTTGTCTCCTCTCCCTGTGCTCCAGGTGGAGGATGGCTGCAGTGCTGTCTTGCCATGGCACAGCTGGGGGCACTGGGACTGCTGGACACATCTCCATATGGCTCTTTGTGTCTGCAGGGGCAGAGCTGGTGATGGGACAGTGGGCATTGCCAGGGTGGTTGAGGACATGGACAGGGCTGTTCAGGGACTCTTGCCAAGGATGTGCTCCAGCTTGCCACCATCACTGTGGTTTGAAGGACTCCCCCATCATGTCCTACAGCCAAGTGTCTTGCCTGGTTCCTGCAGCCCAGCTCGCTCTGCCCTCCTCACCCCACTTCCCAGGAGACCAGCTCAGCAGAAACCCATTTTGCCTTGAGTCCAGCCAGGTCTTTTTTCTACTTCAGTCTGGTTCAAACTGC